TTGCAAGTCGTGAGATGCCGAGCCGAAGCTGGTTGTGCAAGGCCGTCGGAGAGCTTTTTGTATGTTGACGTAGCCTTGCTGGGCATGGTTAGACGCGTTGAGTTAGGTGTAACGTCTGTACGGAGTTTCTCCTGAGCAATGAAAAGCTTGAACTGGTTAGTCGATAAACGAGGGACCGGGTCCGCTGGTTTTCCACTTGTATTGATAATTGAGACGCAACATGAAGAGAGGTTTTATTTTCATCCCTTTTGGTGTTGGTACTGGCTGTTTGATTGCGTGGAAGTGATGGTGGCAAGGTGGACGGTGCACATGTTTGTTGATGTTGCGTGTGGAAGGTTGGATGTTGAACTTGGTGGTATGTTTTGCGTGCAAGTAGGGGTGAGGGGGTGTAGTGGTGTAGGAGTGAGATGATCACCGGGCAGAGGCCAAGGTGGGAGAGGTGGAGATGAGGGAGGTGTATGGAGGCCTCTTGTTTTTGATATTCTGGGTATCGCATATGCGCGAACATCACCATGGTTTAGGGTGACGCACAGGCTTCAGTTGCTGTAAGCGCCGTGCCTAGCGTGGAGCACAAGGAGGAGGAGAGTTTTGACCCTTTGGCCCCGCCCGACGTGGACAAGTGAGTGCTGGTTCCCGTCGTTGGTTGCGTTGTTTGATGGTATGCGTGTGAAGCTTAGGTGGTGTGGCATGTGAGTTAGGTGAGACATGAGTAGCGGTGGTTGTGGTGCGCACCGAATTGGCGGTGCACTTTGGTTCGTATGGGACATGGATCACGGTGGTGTTCTGCGGTTGGATGTTTGTGTGGGAGGAGTTTCTGACGGTGGGAGCGGATGGTTGCAGGTTGAACGCGGCATACATGGCTGTACACACAGCCCCTCTGCTGGGTCGTCATTTGTGGCTGAAGACGTCCGATCACGGCCAAGCGCCCATCAGCTAGTTTTAGGTGGTTTTCTTTTTCTTATTCTTTTTTTTTTTTTTGGGGGGGGGGGGGTAGGGGAAGGGGGTTGGGCGTGTACACGAATGGTGACGTGGGTGCGTGCACATGGGTGGCCAGTTGTAGATGAAATTCAGTTACTGAGACAGAGGCAAAAGTAGATTTACGTTATCTTATTTTATTTTTTTCTTCAACAGCACTCCCCAAGTTGAAAAGCGGGAGCATACCCAAGTTGATAGATGGTGCACATGTGCTGTGTCCGATGTGTTAAAGCGGATGGCTCCCAAGGTCCGTGTGTGCATGCATGGGTGGATGCGTTTGGAATGGTCGCATTTATGATTAGTGTTGGTGATGTGGTGTGACGGCGGTAGGGGAGAGAATGCATGGCGGTTGTGTTGTGTGTGGTTTGGGATTATTATTGGACTTTCAAGTGCCGAACTCGATGAATGTTTAAGAGGATAATAGGCAATGGTTGCGAAGAATTCAATGTCAGACGAAGTGAAGTGTAGACTCTGTCATGTTCATAATAGTAGGTAACAATTAGCAGTGGCTTGATTCGTACGTTACACCGTGATTG